TGTGAGTACTATTTACTATTATAAATTAATTATAAATTAAACAATGTATATACACACATTTAATTAAAATAATTAATCTCAATTATATATCTTTTAATATACATATGTATCTTTGCAGGGATTAGCAGTTACATGCGAGGTATGCCCACACCACTTATTTCTCTGCCAAGATGATTTGAATCGAATAGGCAATGGACGAGGTCAGGTAAGGCCTACTCTAGGAACAAAGGAGGATCAACAGGCTCTCTGGGACAATATGGACGTTGTCGACTGTTTCGCAACTGATCACGGTACATCATTAAATCATTATTTCCGTGACTTGAATTTAATTAAATTACAAGCAATTTTAAATTTTTGCAAAAATCGTACTGCAGTCACATAGCAAAATAAATTTAATTCAATATCTCAAAATGATAACGATCATCAATTATTCTATGATTTAAAGATAAAAGGATGGATGTCCCATGTTTATATAATATCTACTTTGCTTTGCTTTTAAGTCATACAAGAATATTCTTTTTGTTTTGCGGCGTTGATATTATATCGGACACTTGCAGTTATTTAGAAATAATAAGTAATTAGTGTTCTGATAAAAATGAATGTTTTGATAATTCGCATAATCAGAGCCTATTTTTATTCATTCGCGTATTAAAGAATAAGTTTTAATGTGATGAATCGTGCGATTGTACATTGTCCTATATAATAAACGATTGTACATTGTCCTATATAATTTGTACGTTTTTATTGAAATATTGATTTGCATTCCTTTGTAAAGCACCACACACCATGCAAGAGAAATCTTCCGAAAAACCACCTCCAGGTTTTCCCGGTTTGGAAACTATGTTACCACTATTATTAAACGCAGTACATGAGGGAAAGCTGACTATAGAGGTACCTCTTTTGTTTAGATTATAACCTTCAATGACGTTCGGTTGACGTAATGAATATGGAATGTTGATAAGCACTTTGTTCTTGATAACGCGACTATTACTTTCGAAAATACGAATGCATATACGTCATGTTCAGATATGTTTTATATTTAATATGACATAATAAACCAGAACATTTAAAAGATGCTTTTGTTAAAAATTCAATTTTTGCAAAAATTATGCAATAGATACGTTACTTTTCATAATCTTTGATGCGGAGATAATGGATATGTGCAGATTTTATGCATTGAATCGAAGACCAAAGTGATTTTCAGGAATCCATTTTTTACTCCTGTTGAAACGGAATTCTAAAATTCTTTGAAGCTTTTTTAAAGCAGTCTTATGTTTGTGTTTATCGTTTTCTTTATTATGAGCTATTGTTTGATGATAATTAGTCATTTTTGACGAGATAAATGTTGCGTAAAAATTCAGTTATGGCATTAATAATAAAAGCAAAGTATTTTCTTGTTGATAATTTTTTAAAAGATGCAGATAGTTTCAATTGCAAAATAAAATTGAATCTTTTCAGCTTAGGATTATAATAAGAATGTTATTCAATTATTTTATTGTAAAAGAATTAAATATATTTAATTATTGGAATAACATATTTAATTATTGGAATAATATAACAATTGCACTTGCTTACTGATTACAGGATATTATAGACAAATTATATCGCAATCCCAAAAGAATCTTCAATATTCCCGATCAGCGTAACACGTATGTCGAGGTCGATCTGGATGATGAATGGATCATTCCGGAAGCGATGCCATATAGCAAATCAAAATGGACGCCTTTCACTGGCATGACTATTCGTGGTTCCGTGCATAGAGTAGTTTTAAGAGGTGAGGTTGCTTACGTCGAGGGACAAGTATTGGTAAATCCTGGATTCGGTCAAGATATCAGGGATGTGCAATACAAAACGAAAGTTCCACCGACGCTCCATACACCGGCAGCGTCCAATCAGCTTGCAGAAACTATTTACAAACCATTGTCATTATTAGACAGTCTTTTATCACCGAACTATGAAAAATCTGTCTTACACGGCGATCGCGTCGCCGATTTGCACGAGGACGAACAAATTGGTATGGAAATATAAATAGATTATTGAAAGAATAGTTTGATTAATTAGATAGTGCATAAAATTTTTCGAAAAAGTTTAATAGAGGAATGCATCTATCTTATTGCGATATAATCAAATTTTTTTTACAAAAATTTATTTTTTTAAATTAGGATTTAATTTAAATGAATTTTATTTATTTATTTAATTTTTAATATACATATATTAAGCAAAGATTATTTAAAAAATATGATGTGATAAATGGGCAAGTGAGAATCAGCGCTGTTTACGGTACGCAATTGATATTCTTTATTACAACTTAAATATATAAAACAAACGTTTCGACAAACTCTAGTTTGAGTTATCTTCAGTGTACATAACGATAAACATAAGATCTTGCGTTTATCCGATGCGCTCATCGATATTAAAATTGTTAATTAAAATTATTATGACATCCTTAAAGAAACAAGAAACATCTCTTTAAAATTGTCAATTGTTAGATGAATATAGTTTACATTAAATTGGAGAAAGCACGCGTAGGAGTGCGGCATGGATCGCACCGAGTAGCACGCCTCACAGCGTGTCCGCATCTCTTGAGCTCTAGGCAGTTACTGCCGGTGATTCAAACTAGAGTCGAAACATTTGTTTTATATATTGTAAGTTGTAATAAAGAATGTCAATTGCGCATCGTAAACAGCGCTGATTCTCATTTGCCCATTTATCACATCATATTTAATACCAAGAATCACTTTAGTAATATTCAATTATAAAAGATCAAAGTATTAGTAAATATTAGTATCAGTATATTCAAGATTAATAGATGTATTATATTGTAAATAAGATCGACTGCATAAATGTGACACACATACAAGAACAAAATAATTTTCTATCTCTGAACAAATAAGATATGAAATTAAATTGATTTATTTTTTATTAGAGTCGTTTACGCATCTCTTGCAACCGGCATCACACAAATCGACTGTCCATTTTGCCCCATACACAGATGTCGACAAAGAATATCCCAAAGCATTGCCTTCTCAAAGGACTGTCTCACCGTTACCAATTAACAATGTTACTAGATATAAAAGTGACAGTAATTCAAATCTCCTTACAACTGCCGTCACATCAGTTCCAATTGTCCATGCAAACAATAGTCTAGTCGGACATCACGTGCTCACTGTGGATATTTTTAATAAAGAAATATTGAAGGATATATTCCATTTAGCGGAAACTTTTCGAAATGCTATCAGAAAAGAGCGACCTCTGGATCATATTTTAAAGGTAAATTAAAGAACTTTTTTATAACTGTTTTTGTTTAAAAGATATATGGAAATTATAATTGATGATTGAATAATTATGATTGAATTGTAAAATTTAAGAGTTTTGTATTGTAAACGCGATTGCAAATTTTTGAATAAAAAATTATTAAAATATTACTTAATTTCTATTCTTAAAAATTATATATAAAATTATATATAATGTATATATGATTAAGGGGAAGATAATGGCCTCTGTCTTCTATGAAGTTAGTACGAGAACATCATGTAGCTTTGCTGCTGCAATGGAACGACTCGGTGGTCGTGTAATATATATGGATGGTACTACCTCATCTGTGAAAAAGGGTGAAACTTTAGAAGGTTCGTAAAGATTTTTTTTTAATAAGTGCATGATTCATCAAAAATATAATCAGATAATCAAATCTAACCAAGAACATATATTACAAATTAAATATTACGTATTATATCAGCAAAAATCGGATAACAGCTGAATATGATCTACTGTTTTAACTAGTACCTATTAACAGAAATATAAAAAATAAACGTTGTATCACAAGATATTAAAAGAAATGCTTTAAAAATTGAGTAGAACCCTGTTGTTATAAAGAAAAGTGAATTCGAGCGTTATATGTTGTATGATACGATATATTAGCAGAATAAACTAAATATGATATAACATCATGATGAAAATAAACTACAAAATAAAATATATTTCACTGTAAAGTTCTTTTTATTTTAATTAAATTAGAAGTTGGCGCCAGTTCTTAATATCACATCTCTTGTACGAATATAAAATTTAGTACTAAAAAAGACTTTCGTAGATGGAAATTTTTGTATAAAATTCTTTCTTTTACATAAATAAGAAAAGGGGCGCGTGAACTTAGCATTATTTTTTATCTTTTTTAAAAGATAATTTTGTTAGGATATCATTCATTTCTTTAGTAACTAGCTAAATAATATCTATTATTTAGCATATTTGAAATATTTTTATATATACTAGAAATTATATTTTTATATATACTAGAAATAACATACAATCAGTAATTATTTTTTAATAATAAAGTAATTTTTTTAAT